TCGAAAACACCCGTGTCCCGACAACATCTGCGTAAGATGGTAATTGACCCCACCGTGATTCCGGTTAAGCCTAATGTCGATCCGAGGTATGAGACGGTGCGTCCACCTATCCCTACCCCTTGCATCCCATTGTAGTTGCCATCGGCCTATGCTCTTCTGCCGTTCTTCAATTTTAAGTTCTTCAGGACTCAGTGCAGTTGACCTTTTTCGTTGGTAAAGGGCCCGTCTTTCCTCTGCTAGAATTCTAAGAGGTAGGGTTCCAGCAATGACGCACACTGCTTCTTCTGATATAGTGCGGAAGGCACTAGCTACTCGTAGGGCACTTAGTCGGTATATTGGTCCAGCTTTTCTCCATGATTCTTGGGTTTCCAGTGCATCAGCCAAAATGGATATTCCGTAAGTAAGCACTGATGTGACTACTGATGACAATAATAGCCTCCTGCTCTGCATTGGGCCTCCGATGTTAGGCATCAGCCGTGCGAGACTAGCCCTCACTACTGACGCTTTGGCACTGACATGTTCCACCTGCTGCTTGAAGTTGAGTCGTGCATCCAGCATCACTCCCAGATAACGGATAAATGGTTGTGATATGATTTCTTGTTCTCCGACTCTCAACTTAATGGTTTCTACCGTTTTTCTGCTGGTGATGAGCACTGCCTCGGTTTTATGCTTGGCCAGTTGCAAGTTCATCATGTCCATCCACAAATTGACTCGTCTGAATGTAATATCAAATGCCAGTTCTATCTCTTCGAGGTGCTTTGCGACGATTACGACAGCTACGTCATCCGCATATGCTACAAGTTTGACTCCCGTGGGCAATGCTATTCTCAGGAGGCCATGTTAAAAAATGTGGAACGCTTTTTGATTACAATGAATTGTAATCATTGTAATCATTGTCAACGCTTTGCGATGACACGCAAAATCGTGAAGCGTTTTAACAAATATAAATAATGCTGTGAAGCGGGAAAGAATAGGAGTTACGGATAATTATTACGTGAAGCGTTCCAACATTCACGTAACAGGATATTTTGGTAGGAAAGGATTGAGAAAGGATTGTGGAGAGGTGTGTGTGTGTATGTATGTATGTATGTATGTAAACCTCTTGGAACTTTTGAACGACTTGACCGATTTCATCGCGGTTGGTGTCATTCGAAAGGGCTTCACTAAACTTAGATTTCCTGAAAATTTGAACCGATCCGGACCAGTAGATTTCGAGAAAATGCAAGAAAAGTGAAAAAAAAAGTTGTTTTTTTTATATTTTTTTTTTAATATCTCCGAATTGGCTGAACCGATCGGTCTCAAAAACTAATTAGCTCTTAACCTTGAAAACCCCCATCGATCGCCACCAAAAACGTTAGAATCGGTTGATGCGTTCGTGAGATATCGTTGTCGAAAAAAATCGAAAAAAGTGTTTTTTTGTAATAACTTCGAAATTCATGGCTCGATCGATTTAAACTTGGAAATTTTTCATGGAGCTTCAAAAACTGCGTCGATTGCCGCCAACCGCGTGAAAATCGGTTCATTCATTCAAATTGACACAAAAATAATATTTTTGAGCTCGAAGAGCTCAAAAACGTAATGTGTAGTTTGAAGCGTTTAAGTACAAAATGAGCGGGAAGTTGCAGGGATGGCCTTTAGGGTGAACCGTTTTTCTAATTTTTTTATACTTCTTTTAGTTCTGCAGAGCCAAACTGCGCACTGCGCAGATAGTTTAAAAAAGTTTGGAAAATCCAAAAGTACACGCCTTGTAACACTAATTCATTTTTTAAGCAAAAAATCAATTGTGTTAAAAAAAAAAGTAATTAAGTATTTTCTATTTTTTTTTAATTATTGTTGCCCGTTTTTCTTGTCAAATGCGCACGCAGTCTAAAAAAATATTACTAGAACAATATTACAATAACTAGTAACAATAACTATTAAAAAGTAGTAGCAAACATCATGGCTTTGTTTATATATCGATTGTTTGTGTTATAATTTTTATATTTGCAATATGATTAAATGTATTTTTATAATATTAAGGTAGTTCCAGCATGAAATTACTTTTCGACAGATTCGGCTGAAATTTTTTTTACGGGTTCAGTATAGCTTTGTTTATAAATTCCTGAAATTTCATAATTTTTGACCGTTTAGATCGCGAGATATTTAAAGTCAAAGTTGGCGATTTTGAGGGTCACGTTCCATTTAAAGTATGTAAAATGTCCGGTCTCTCCAACTATTTTTTATTATATTAAAAAATTCTCTCGACAGAATTGTAAAAAAAATTAGGAGAGTGTTGAAAAATGTTTTTAGAATAAGTTAAAAAAATAAAAATAGCACCTCACCGTTTTGTTATTGAGATATAATAATTTAAAAAAATAAATTTCGATCCATTTCTAACCTGCTCACTAAACAACTTATAGTGATTTGGCAACGCCGTGCGCAACGCTCCCTGAAATAGTGTAGCATAAAAAGCGGGAAATTCAAATCTTTCACGGTTTTCAAGAGCAACGTTGCCAGATTACTAGGCTAACAATATGTAATTGTATGTGTGAACGTCTGTGTGCCGAGGCTTTTAAATTTTTGTCCATAGTAAATGCTCTGACTATACTATACCACGCTGGAACTATGTTAACTGGAAAAACCCTTAGTGCGTAACCAAAAGATCGGGGTTCGGTTTCCGGTTCGAGCTGTCTGAATTATTTTTTCTATTCTCTGAGTTAAAGTTAATCAAGATGATTATAAAGCCAAAATTAACTAAAAATAGTTTAAGTTATTATCTATTGGGGTTCAATGCAATAAATTATTTCAGATACTGGAACTTCAATTTAATACTGGTGATTCTAGATAACTAGATTTTCCTAGTTCAGAGAACCAGATTTTTTTCTCCTGCAATCTTGTAAAATAATGTAGAATGTGTTTTCTCTTACGTCGATCGAGTTTGGTGGATATATAAATGCCGGGTTAGAGCCAGTACAATTGATCGTTAAAGTATCATTTTCGATCAAGTGAATCTCGTTAATAAGAGGTGATATTTCTGATGGTTTATGTGCGAAGGATACTGCAATGTAATTCAATTAAAAATATTTGATGTGTTAGAAAATTAAAAATATTATACATAATTTTTATTTCTTGCGTAGTAAAATTAATCGTTGAATTCATTGTATAAAAAAATATTTTACTTACCCCAAACATTGAAAAGTATGAAGCAAATGTATTTAACTACCATTTTTTAACGGATGAATCAACAGTCGTATAAAGATAAGCTTGTTATAAGTCTTTGAAGACACGTAAATTGAACTTATAGTCTTCTTTAGCGTTGTGACACATCGCTTGTCAATAATAGATCGATACAGGTAACACTTGGGAGTTTGTATTGATATGTACTTTTTAACTTACACGGAGGTAACTTTTAACTACTACTATGATTTTTTATTAATTGAGAACTTCCAATTCCATTAATTTCTTATCGTTATAATTAAACTGAAGACATCTAAAAGCATTAACAAATACAAACAAAAAAAATTATCAATTTTTTTTTATTAAAATCTTAGCCATGAACTGCAATATTTATTATGGTTATTATTAGAAAATTTGGTAACACACTACTACGTGACAAAAAAATATTCCACACATTGTCAAAGTTATGAAATCATTTTTTTTAACAATATAGGCCAATCAATCATTACCTATTTACAAAAAAATAACATTGAGTTTTATGAATCATTGATTTTAAATTTACTAAAATTATTTAATTAAAATATAAAAATGTAATATAATTTACTACACATTCTAATTTCTTATTATTTTCATACATGGCATTTGTTAAAATGATAGAACAATAGTCAACTAGAGGTAATATAGTTGCTGAGACTAGCATTCTTTTTATATCCATACTAAAAATATTTTTTCGCAATTGTAACTATACAAGGCAGAGTTTATTTTACTCACAGCTTTTGATATATGTAAATTGCAAGACAGATTCTCTGTAATGTGGAGCCCCAGACACTTTGCTGATTCAACGTAGGGCAGAGTATAATACCATCAACAATTACACAGGTCACAAAAAAAAGTGGTCTGTGCTGAGTTTGCGACAAAGATTTTCCGACGTATTTTTTACCGCTGAACAAGAATCTGAAGTCAAAATTAGGGATCAAACTGCAAAAAACGAAGAAAAATAAAAAAAACCGATAAAATCTATAATCTAATAATTTTGTCTACATGATAATTATAATCTAATAATTTCTGTGCAATGGATTTCTGCTAAGATTTTTTCCTCTCTGTTGAGTTTCTCTTTCTAGCATCCAGCAGTAATCTGCAAACATATTTACTCCCCACCAGGGGCCGTTCACTTTTTACCCCCACCATACCCAATTTTGTCTAAGCTGCAGGACTAATGGACGACAACCTTATAAAGTGAAAGTCTCGAAAGTTTCAAGCCGATACAGTGGTAGTGCTGAAAATAATAATAATGAAAAAAAAATATTCCGCCATTCTTGTAACCACGTTTACTGCGAATACATGTGATAAATTTGGTTATCTCGAATTTTTTGCAATTTTGACAAATTAATATTGATTTCAATTTTTTTATTTATTCACTTATTAAGCTTATACCTCCAAATTATTTTTTCAATATTTTTTTATAATATTCTCGAAACTTTTTAAACATTTTTTTTCTTTTCCAATTTCATAACCTTACATTCAAATTTCAATATTTCTGTTTATAATTTATTAATTAATATTAATATAAAAAATATTATAGGTATTCAAATTCGTTATCATCTCATATTTTCTTTTTTTTTTCTCTTTATTTAACCTTTCAAATTCGTCAATTTTGTTCTTATTATTCTCTCGAATAGCTTTCATTTCTTTTCAGAATAAGTCTGTGATTATCTTTTGCTTTTTTTTTTTTGCTAAATAATTGCAAAATGATTATTTGTTGTGTAAAAGATTGTAGGCATAAAAAGCCTAAAGACCAGTGTAAATTACATCGACTGCCAAAGGATGAGAAATTGTAAGTAAAAATTAATCTAAATTAGAATTATAAATTGAAAAGCAGAATAATAATATTATGTTTTTTTTTTCTAGTTGCAAGGAGTGGGTTCGTCGTATAGGAGTAGAAGAGTTATTATACAAATCTTTGAAGGATTTAAATAACGTCTACTTATGCAGCTGCCACTTCACTAAACAAGATTATCGTTCCAGCAAATATTTGAATCCTGGAGCTATTCCGACGCAGTTCAGTGATGATACTCATCCAATATCAGACGAAAAAATGGAAAAGTTTTCTAACTTTATTCGTTTTTCAACGACAGGTAAGATTAAATAAGATTATAAGAAACAACAGCGTCATTAATCATATATCTATTTTCTGATATATAATTATTTTTTTAACAGCTAGCCTTGAACCTCTTACGAATATTTTAAATTCAAAAATTGTAAATCTAAGGCAGCTTCAGACTATCACGGTTATCAATAACGATGTTGAGCAACCATTCACGGAAGAGGTACAACAGTTGATGGATATTGAAGATAATACTCAGACTTTATTTGTTAGTACTGTAGATGAAAATTTAACTATAAATCAACCGATAGTTAAAAGAAAAAAGTCTTCAGATTTTTCAACCGAAAAACCTTCGTGCACCATAACGCCAGCGAAACGACTTCGACCATCAGGTAATTATTTATTGTTGACTAATTTTTTTTGCTTGATGCTTTTCTTGATTTTAAATTTGATGGTACCAATTTTTTAAATTTTATATTTCAATTAATCCTATGTACAACTATACGTGCATCGATAACACTTTAGTAATAGAATGATTTAAAAGATATTACAATTGTAATATGTTTGATTAAACTCAGTAATTCATGTAGTATATACTGTTAGTCACTACATGTTGAATTACTGCCGAATTATTTTATAATCAGTACTTTTTTTATGGACGCATTAGCATAGTATGCATTGAAATGGAGAAAATTATATAGTTTTAAACCATTCTATTTATTATGAAAAATTTTTTTATGACGCCTGCTTGCTAGTTTTGCCACTGCTTAATGGCTTGTGTTTTTATCACTTAATTTTATATTGTTTCACAAATCATACTTGAATCAATTTAAAAATTGAATGTTTCAGCATTATATAAGGTTAAACCTTACAATTTGAGTCAGCATTTATTAAAAATAAATGCACTTGGAGATTCAAAACAAACCAAATATCAACAGTCAATAAAAAATGATAAGTCTGTTGAGCTAGCGAAGTCTAATATAAGGTTAAAAAAATTAGAACAATTATGTAAGTCATTGAAATCATCCGTATTAGATGATTTGATATTTAAAATAGATTTATTAGTAAATTATTACGATAAGCAAGAAAATTTAGTCTAATCAATTTGATACAATTAAAATTGATGATAGACATAATTTTGTAGTATAACACTAGAAATTTTCAGATTGTACAACTTTTTTCTTAATTGTACATATTATTTTAAATTTGATGAAACTTATTTTCAACCGTACATTATTTTTAATTGTATATATCCATTTTCAATTGTACAAATTCATTTTTAATTGTACATTTTTTTTTTTAGTTAAACAAATTAATTTTCAATTGAAAGTAGTTTTTTCAAAAAAAATTCATCATATCAGAATACAATTTTTCAATTGTAAAATTATCTCTTTTATATTACAAACTTCAAAGATTATTATTAAATTATTTAATAATCTTATGAATGATCTACTACCAATGATATTTATTTTCAAATTGGAGTTAATTATCCACTTAATACTGTAAGTCTTAAGCTTAATGTTAATATAATTATTAATGTAATTTTAATATATGTAAATAAAAATAAAGGGAATTCTAATTTAGTTTTATATATTATTCATTTTTTTTTCAAACAGGATTTATCTTTTGGCAGCTATTGCCATTTATTTTACAATATTTTTGTCTTTTTACAAAAATATATTATCGTTCAAGTAGCTCATGTCTGTGAGGAGTAATTCATAATTGTAGGCATACAATTTTATAATATTCGTTATTTTGATTGTTAAGAAATTTAACAATTATTATATATAGTACAACCTAGTTATTGGTTTTATCCCATTTTTCGAAAATCGAGTTCTCATCAGATCTCGACGTTTTGAGGTCCTAGGAAGCTTCCCTGAATGTTTTCGTGATAATGTATGTGTGTATGTATATATGTATGTATGTGACCCCCATATAACTGCTTGAACGGCTTGACCGATTTTTTTGCGGTTGGCGCTATTCGGAAGGGCTTGACCGAACTTAGATTTTGAATATACTCTGAACTGATTCAAAACGGTAGATTTTGAGAAATCTTAAATAAACTACAAAAGCAAATTTTTCGAACTATGGTTTTTTTTTTCAATAACTTATAAACGGCTCGACCAATCGATTCCTAAAAATAATCAGCTGTCAACTTAAAAAAACCACGTCGATAGCCTCCAGTCCAGCCGAAATCGGTTGATTAATTCGTGATTATCGTTGAAAATCGAAAAAAGTGTTTTTTTTTTAATTACTTCGAAATTCCTCTTTACATCGTTTTTTTTTTTTCAAATATAATAATTATTATAGAACTCAAAAAACTGCCTCGAACGCCATCAACCGCGTAAAAATCGATTCATTCATTCAAAAGTTGTTGCGATGTGAAAATTCAAAAAATAGTGTTTTATTAAACGTCTATCAGATTTTTGAGCTCCGATAGCTCAAAATGATACGAGATTCATATTTTTGAGCTCGAAAAGTTAAAAAATGTAATAAGTACAATTTTGAGTGCTTAAGTATGGGATTAGCGAGAAGATGCAGGGATGGCCTTTAGGGTCAACCGTTTTCCTAATATTTTTTTATTTTCAAAATTATAATACATACATTTTTAAACTCTAAAAGTTCCGTTCTAATTCGCACAATATATATTTCAGTTGCTACCAAGTATACGACTGTTCGAAAAGTAATGGATATGGCAGGATTGAAGAACGTTCCTTCAATCCCTGAGGTAACAAAATTAGCAAGAGTTGCAATTGAAGAGCAAACTGCGAGGAAAGAATTGGAAGTTCAGCTTGAAAAAAAAAACTAAGGAGTGCGAGTTATCACGTCAACAATTGCAGGATGGTAATAACTTTTCAGAAGTTAAAAAAAGTCCTGGACTTGAATTATTAACTGATGTCAATGGGCGAAATATAAACAGAAAAAGAGGAGGAGAACGTTACACGCATCAAGAGACATTATTCGCTATTGGGATTTACAAACGTTCACCAAAGTGTTATCGGTACATGCTTGAGTTCATGGAACTTCCTAGTGAAAGTACTTTAAAGCGAGCTTTCTCAAAAATTGTTTTAAGACCTGGAGTAAATGACATCATTTTTGAAGCCTTGTCTAAAGCTGCGAAGCGATTGGATCCAAAAGATCTATATTGCAACATAGTGGTGGATGAAACTACTCTCAAGCGCCGAATAACATTTACGGAAGGATGTGACTCTTTAGATGGGTTTCATGATGATGGAAACGGGAAATTAAAAGCAGAGTTAGCTGATCACGCGACAGTCTTTATGTTGCAAACGATCAATTTTAAAGGCAGACAACCACTTTCATTCCATTTCACCAAGGGACCGATGGCTACTGATGATTTGAAAGCTTTGATAAAAAAAATCATTCAATTAGTTAATGCAAGTGGTTTTAAAGTGGTAGCAACTGTATGTGATCAAGGTTCGACAAATAAGGCTGCATTTAAAGCGCTTGCAGAAGAAACTTTGGATAATTGGGATAAAACTTTTTTCAAACTTCCTGAGCATCCTCTTAGAATCTTCATATTTTTTGATATAGCGCATTTAGTTAAAACATCAAGAAATTGTTTCTCTGGAACATCTGAAAAATGGTTAAAAAAGAATCCATCTAAACATCGGAGTGAGTATCCGGGAAATATGATTCAGTTTAAAGGCCAAAAAGGATACTGGAGAGATGTAGTGCAACTTTATCATGCAGACTCAGAATGTCACTTAAAAGAAGACCATATATATTTAACAAACACCTCTAAAATGAATGTTGATTTAGCTGGACAAGTTTTAAGTGACAGAACTGCAAGGAAACTTAATACTATGACGCAATCGGATCCACGGAAATACCCGACGGCTTCAAGCACAGGTGCTATTATCAAAGAACTTGATATACTTTTTGACTCACTGAACGGAAGCAAAATTACTGGCATTGACAAGAAAATTATGACATCTCGAGCACCTGTAACATCACATTCATATCACTGGGACTACTGGCCGAAAATTTGGAAATCGTTAGATGAGTTAAAATTTTTCAAAGTTGAAACTCCAACACCTGCTACTTTGAAGAATAATGTGAAATCGGCTATGGGATTATGTAGCTTTCTTTTGAATACAGCTGGATTTGAAAAAGTAAATATGCGTATGCTGACACAAGACGCTCTGGAAAATTTATTTGGGTTCATTAAAAATTTACAAGGGTGTAATCATAAATTAACAGCTACACATTTCATCAGCGCATTTAAAACAACTTTGTTAACAACCTTTTCCAAATTTCAACCTCAAGGTGCTAACTGTGAAAAAGAAGACCTCCCAGCGATCATCGATATTGAAGACTTATTATCTTCGCAAGTTTTAGAAGAAATAAATGATGATACATCGAACGTCTCAGATGAATTTGAAGAATCTGATGTTCCACGTATACAGTTGGAGGATAACGATGAAAATCTTAAAGAATTTCTGGACTTATTAGGAATTGAAATCGATAGCGAGAATATCAGCTCAGCAAGCGATAAAAAAATTCCAGATTCAATTTTGGACGCGATGACTAAATTCTTCAAGAGAAATCGTTGTTTAACATGCAAATCATTTATATATGAAGAGAGTTCAACTGGAATTGCGAAAATTTCGGAAACTTTGATAACTTCATTTGCAGGAGCAATCGATTTGTTTGACCGGATTTATAAGAATGTTCTGCATGAAAAAAATATAGTTGGAGTCATAATTAAGGGCTTGGAAGAATTCTTTTCCTCGGAATGGAATAAGTGTACTCTACATTCTGTGAAAAATCTAAATAAGGACATCGTTAAGAAGCTAGTCAGCTTATTAATTCGCCGAGAATGTGATAAAATAAACAGACAAATCGAAATGGAAGAAATTCAAGCAGCCAACGCAGCGAAAATTGCAGACTTAAGTGGAAAAGCCAAATAAAAAGTAATAATTTATAAATAATTTTGCAATTTTCAATTATACCAAACCGAAACATTTTTTAACTCTTTTTTTTCTATTACAGAATTACGTTGGAAAAAATTTTCATTTGGAGTCACAGATGGAGAATAATCGTTCGGTCAAAATTTATTGGGATAGTCAAAGAAGTAAGTTATCTATTATTCATTGTTTGACAGAATTATTTATATATTTTATTACAATGTTTAATTATGGTTACTAAAATTACTTTCTATTGCCTTCTAGATGAAAAGGACGATGCTGCCCACGTATTCACGGAATGTATATAGTATTGAGATTGCTTAGAACGATTACAAAAAAGATAAGTTGAAAATTTGCATTCATATATAAATATTAATTAATTAATTAAGACACAAATTGATAACGGTTTTTTATTTTTTTTGTTCCAGAAAAGAAGTGGTATAACTTTCATTTAACCAAGGAGTCAATTAAATTATGGAGTATTATTCACCAGCGATCATCCTTCTTTATCATTTTAGTATAACATTAATTCGAAAAAATTATTTGACTACTTATTTAAATTAGATATTAATGCTTATATTAGGTAAATCACTATAAGATATCATGATGGTTGTTCTTCATTTAAAGTTATTAGAAAATTGTATGAAATTAACTAAAATCATTTACTGTTAACAATAAAGTAGAGCATTGTTATTTAAATTTTTTAAATAAGCTAAGACGTTATTTCAAGTTATCTTTTCAGTTAAATCAAAATCATAATCTATATTAAAAAATAACAAATTGAAATTGAATCAATTAATATTAAAATAAATTTTTGTATTTGCCATCAGGCCATTATCGCCTTTAGCATAAATAATAAATATCTATCTATCTGTAAATATAAATGTATCAATGAATGTATATCTATTTTTTTTGTATTGTAGAATTTAAGTATAGATATATTAATTTATTGTCAATGTTGTCTATTTGTATCTAAATAAAGCTTTTACTGTTAGTTACTTCCCTATAGCAGTTTGTTCCTAAGGTAAAAAAAGCTTATATAATTTTATTTTATTATTTATGGACTGTAATTAATTTATTTACTTTTTCAATTTTCAATAAAATTTTTTTAAATCCATTCAACTGTATTTAATTTCCTTCCATTACCTGATAATTGTATTTCCACACCG